AAGGTGCACCCCTGCGTGTATTTTTCTCACCGTTTGTCCTCCGCCGAACGCAATTATGATATTGGTAACAGAGAGTTGTTGGCAGTCAAGTTGGCCTTGGAGGAGTGGCGTCATTGGTTGGAGGGTTCGGGGGTTCCTTTTGTCGTCTGGACCGATCACAAGAATCTTGAATACATCAAGTCCGCCAAGAGATTGAACTCTAGGCAGGCCCGGTGGGCTCTTTTTTTCGGCCGATTCGATTTTCCATTTCTTACCGTCCAGGTTCTAAAAACATCAAACCGGATGCATTATCCCGCATTTTTGATCATTCGGAGCTATTTTTCAGAGTAGGGAATCCGAAGTCGCGGTCCCCTCTGCCCACGCCTTTGTCCAGAGGTGCCACCACACCTGGAAGAGGGCTAGAGAAGCCATCCTCCGGGTGGGGTCGCGCACCAAGGCCCAGGCCGATCGCCACCGGTCAAAGCCTCCCGTCTACGTCGTTGGTCAAAAAGTGTGGCTTTCATCTAAGAATATTCCTCTCCGTACCGTCTGTAATAAGCTTGCTCCCAAATTCATTGGCCCGTTTACTGTCACCAAGATTATTAGTCCGGTGGCAGTCCGCCTCAAACTTCCTCCAGCGTACAGGAGAATTCATCCGGCATTTCATGTATCCAAAATTAAGCCTGTTTTTCATTCAGCCATTATTCCGCCGGTCCCGGTTCCTCCCCCGCCGCGTCTCGTAGACGGGGAACCAGCCTATTCGGTAAAACGTATTCTGGACTCAAGGCGGAGGGGACGAGGATTTCAGTACTTGGTGGACTGGGAGGGTTACGGTCCGGAGGAGAGAAGTTGGGTACCTGCTAGGGACATACTGGACCACTCTCTTATCGATGAATTTAATCGTCAGGTAAGTCTTCCTGGGAATGTCAGGAGGCATTCCTAGGGGGAGGGGTACTGTCACGGTTCATGGGTCCGTGCGGTCCTTCTCCGTCTTGTCATGTGGGTGTGTGTCTGTATGTCATTCATTAGTGGGGGCAGCTGTCGCTCTATCAGAGCGCGCCAGCTGCAACTCGTTAGCGATGCCTTTATAGGGCGTTCTGTTCAATGTGTGTTTGTCGGTTTGTTATCTCATGTCCTGTCTCCTTGTCAGTTCTCTGTTTTCAGTTCACGCTCAGCCAGGGTACGGATCTTCAGCCCTCGCCTTGGGTAGGCCAGCGTTGAGTGAAGAACGCTGCTCGGGAGGAGCCCTGATCTTGACCGAGACTCCGGACTATGATCACATTTTGTCTCCGTCTATTGTGGTTACTAAATAAATCCTTATTTTGCACTTGCACTTGGATCCTGACTCTTTTCTCCCGTGACAGTTAGCAATATTTCAAGATGAATATTTACTGGAGTGAAGCAACTTAAATTTACTTGATTATCCATATATATATATATATATATATATATATATATTTACATATTTAAACATTTTTTTTTCCAAAACATCATGTTAAAATATGAGCATCAAATATGATACATCAGGCTTTTGAGGAACATTTATTTGTACATCTCCCAATCATCAATGTAGTGCATTGCATTGTACTGTATGTTTTGCCCTCCCACAATAAAAACTAGAGCTTTGATCATAAAAAATAAGCATTTAAATATCATCTTACTGAGACTTATTAGTATTATATTATTTTATTATTATTAAAATATTATATTATTGAAATATTATTATTATTGATCTAATGTTTCTGTGCATTTTATGTAAGCAGTCTGCTACACTGTTATAAAGATCTCATTGATTTTCATTATAATTACATGGCATCAGAATTTTTATCTTACTTTTTGGCCACTGTCACTGCACCAAATTGCATATTTTTTGCTCAGTTTGGGCCTCTGAATAAACTTTTTTTTCCCTCTTTGAGTATGAGCGCCATATTCTCCTATATCATCTCCTATATGAGCCATAAAAGTATCAAATGTGATACTCAACAGAAAAACATATGCAATTTTTTTTGTCTAAAGCTTCAGTAAACTGATTAATTTTTTTAAAATTCTATATTTCTGACTATTATTATTGCATACACATGTCAGGCTTTACAGGGTTAAACTGTAGGAACCAATGGTGTCTTAGTGGTCTATCAGAACAGAGCATTATTGCTTATTACAAAACTAAAATGTTTTCAGAAGTCTGTTTCCAGTGATCATAACATCAAAGAGTCACTCCGGACAAAGTATTTTAGTTGTGTGAGGTAAGAAAGGATGTGGTAAACACGATAAACACAAGACGTGCATTATCGCCTTATCAAAAAATACAACCTGAATAAGCACCTAACACTATAACCAAGTTAACAAAAAAAGTGTTTATGTCCATTCATGCCTCATAGGCTCTCAGAAGTAAGGCTCTCAGGACTTCCTGAGGAGGTGGCTGTAGTGTTCCCGGCTGCCCGGTAGTCAGGCTAACCCAAAGCAAACATTTGACAAAGCATTTCATCCGTTAAGTTGTGCACAGTTATAGGAACGTGAGAGGGGGTGGACTGTTCTCACAGCTGAGGCAGGACATGTGATTTTAGCACACTCAGCCAAACCTAACACACTAACAGAAGAGCAACAAAGAGCCTGATGAAAACCTATAAAAACATCCTAGCAATTGGTAAGGGTTGCAACCTTAAAAGTTATGGGCATACTGAAAATTAGTGAGGGTGGAGAACACAAATGCATGAAAATAGTAATAATAACAGTTCTGTCATGACAACTCTCGGAGGGATTGGCATGGTAATATGTACATGACAATGTTAATGTATTTGGTCTTGGCGGAATAGATCTGCTACGCTGCTGCTGCTGCTGCGGCGGCAGAGCAAGTACCGAGACTTGCTACTGCCAGTACATCCACAACATGCTGCGGTAAGCATGTAAGAAATACTGCTGCTGCACATATAACACATATGAATAACCACCATAGCATACATGAATCACCCCGTAGCAGATCTATACAGGTGGAGCTGGGGAAGTTGGAGGGTTTTCTGAAATGCGCTGCAAACTGCTACAGCAAACAAAAGGCCAGGTATCTGAATATTGAGCAGTATGCTCATTGGCTACCGATATACAGGAGAGAACCAATCAGCTGCCATGTGACAATGATGTTGCCAGGTCAGATTGAGCTAGACCTATCGGACTGCGCCATCTAGAGTTTCATGCTGCAGTAACATTCTACTATCTACACTTATTTTGTTTCCATATTTATATTGTTTGTTTTCTTACATGTTTGAAAATCTGCTTTATTTCCACACTTATGTTTCTTTATTATTTATCCAAATCTGTTTTGTGTCCATATCTATAGTGTTCTTCGGTAATACTTTAGTATTAGCATGCCTATTATTAACATATTTGCTGTTTATTAGTACTTATAAAGAGCATATTCTGCATGATCATATTCTACATCCCTAATCCTACCCAATACCTAAACTTAACAACTTCATTACTAACTATTAATAAGCAGCAAATTAGGAGTTTATTGAGTCATAGTTAGTTAGTAAAAGTCATAGTTAATGGTTTATTAATAGCGAGAACTGAACCTTAAAATAAAGTGTGACCTGTTTTTCTTAATTGTTTATCTAGAACTGTTTCATTTCTATATCTACTATATCAAGGTTTTTTCTTAATTGTTTATGTAAATGTTTTCATACAAACTAAACAAAAATGAATATAATAAAAATAATCAAATAAATAGCACACTGTTGCTTTTAATACTAATAAATGTAACTGCCTTATTCATGAAATTAAATTCTGAGTAATTTGGGTGTAAATTGGACCCAAAAACTATCCCTTGGATTTGCGAACGCTTCATAAACTTTAGATTTGATATTTAAACATGCGTATGTTAATGAATTCCAATTATTGGTAAACAGAATGCATTAAAAAAAAATCAATAAATTATTTTTAGTTTATCAATGAAATTTATTTTCGCTTTTAACTCAATGGTTAACCAATTAATTTTATTATATATTATCATGGTAAATCGTGTTATCAAAATGCAATGTCATCAGTTTGCCTAAAAAAACCAAAAACATTTTGATGCTTTATGCCCAATTTAAGCACAGTTGGGAGCAAGTAACAATTTCATAAATATGAAGATTTACATCTGAATGGCTTTACGAATGATTTACACACACACACACACACACACACACACACACACACACGCACACAAATGTATTCTGCCTGTGTTTCAGGAATGATACCCAAAGTGTGCTTTATGTTTTGCAAGGGCAAGCACCAGTTAAATTTTCCCTGAAAAATCTAAAAATCTAGTTTGAAGTCATTAAACCTAATGACTTAAAGATTAAAGATGTTTTTTATATATATATATTTTTTTTTTTCAAACATAAATGTATGTCAACTACTGGTCTATTAAATCATTATTACTGTTTAATGACTTATTAATGAAAGTTAAAAGTGTTACCAGATTTATATCCTTCAAATTTGAGAAAGAACATTCTCTATGAATTCCCAACATATGAAAGCACTACACTGGTCATTTGAATGAGGACACACTGCAAGAAGATAAATGCTGTGGACTCTTCCTATTGGCTGAACAGCAGTTACATTTAGATATGGATGGGCAGATGGCAGAAGAGACCATAGAGATGGAAAATCAGTGATTGATGCCATGCCGTTTTCTTGTGAAACTCTCTGCCTTTGAAACCTACTGAGGGTGATTAACATGTCTGCCAGGGTCACGTACACGTACACACACACACACACACACACACACACACACACACACACACACGTGATGTGACGTTAAGTATCTGCGCATGACTGTTCTCCTGTGGCATTATATACCTTTCAAGCATATATTGACATGACTATTATATGACAACAGAAAATTCATTCTTGCATGACTAAGTGAGTCAGGGCACGTGTACAAACGCACATCATTTAAATGATGTAACACACATCAAGCTACACTGTTATAATGCCTCAGGTGGTGACACATATTACTGCTGGACCACTGGACACACCCTTACCATGCAGTTCATTGCAAAGTGGTTGTGCTGGGTCTGCAGCTCGAGCACATGCTGATGGTTGGGTCCTATCTCTGTGTAGGTTGTCAGGAACAGGCCTTTATTATGGACGATCCAATCGAACATCTGTTGAGAGGAAAAATGGAAGGCATGGACTATGAAATGCTGTTTTTATGTTATTCTTCAACTTCACTCTTATAAAGAAACAGCATTGTACTAACGTTTTTGTGCACCCTCAAAACATGACTAGTGAAGTGTTAAAGGATTTGCTCCTGATTTTGAAACTTCACATGACTAGTGAAGTTTCAAAGGATTCCATAAAGTCTTGCTAATCTTTGGTATTATTTGTTGACTTTTATATCAAATGATTTTGTTGTATTTTTGTATTATTTATTTACATTTTTAAGAAATTCTGACTATTTATTTCAAAACAAAAAAAATAGCTAGAACATTATATAAATAGTAATTGGCTTTCCCTGTAATGCTTGTATATCACTATAAAAGACTGGTACAAAATATTTACCTTACTTTTCAGACACTGTTCAAATGTTTGGGGTCAATACGATTTTTTGTTACACATACACACACAGATTATATATATATATGTATATATATATATGCGCCCCACAACTTGGTAGCATGCAAATACATGAACACACTAATCATTTAGTATCACGTTGTACTGTTGGAGTGTATTTTTGTTAGGATTTTAAAGACAAAATGTTTATAACATTACACAAAGTTAAATAAATTATAAATAAGAAGTATCTTTGTAGGTTATATCTTCCATATTATGTTATGGTCCTAGTCCTATGTTATACGTAAAACTATCCAGTTTTCTCCCTATTAAACTTCACATATAATAATGCATGTTCATACCTTCTCTGCATCCTGCTGAAAGAGTCTCAGCTGGAAGCACTGATCCAGTTTGACTTTGCGCATGTGCCAGGATTGGTGCAGATGTTGTCGTGTGGCGTGGAGTTTATCCAGAAGTGCCTGGACTTTTGGAGCTAATCCCTGGATATCTCCTCTGCCTTTTTCCTCACACTGGATTCGTTGAAGCAGGCGTTGACCCTCAGCATCTAACTCCTCCACAGGAGCTTTAGTAACCTTTTTCTTCAGGGAGGCGTGTTCCTCCATAGCACGCCGAGACCCGTCCAGGTCTGACGGCAGCTCCCGCTGGGACACCAAGTCCTGGAGTTCTTCCAAACGGGAAAGGATGCGAGCGGCATTGCTCGTGAAGTCTTCAAAGGCCACTCGAACTTCGATCCACTCCTCGTGGTCATAATCCAGACCGCCCTCGAAGTCTGGAGTCAGCTGGGAAGGATCAACCACTTTGGTTAAACCCTCAAGGGACACCATGATGGTCTGAAAAGATGAAAGTAGGACACTTAGGTTCATATTCTGAATGTATCAGATTTTTAGATTTCATCTATTTAACATTTCTCATTTTCATTTAGTTTAACTTCATCCTAACTGAAAATGGAACACTTTACCTATCTACATATGCAGTAACTCTGTATGGCACAGAAACAGCGCTCCAAATTAAAAGACTTAACTTGCAATTTATTTATTTTTTAGCTTTTGAGGACAGTCTAGAGTGTCTCTATAATGCCCTTAAATGCTGCCACTATTATTTATATACAATTATATTATTTACTAATATTTTGAATTGCATTTATTTTATATTTTCAATTTTCATTTTAATTTTAGTTTATAAATATACATATAAAGGCCAATTCACAACTCACAGACAAACACCAACAAACATGTGTGTTGGGTTTTGTCTGATTAGTGTGTTACCCCTGTCGGCATCTGTTGGCGTTGGTTGGGGTTTGTTTTCTCCTGAGTGAACATGTTCAGTCAGCATTTGTCAATGTCTGTTGGGGCAGTGTGAACATGACAGTTATGTTTCATAAAATTCTAACTAACTAATTAAATCTAACCGTCAGCTTGTTTGTTGGTGTTTGTCTGTGCGGTGTGAATTGGCCTTAAGACATATAAGTATGTCCAACTTTATCCATATACATAATCTCATAGGGCATATATATTATACAGTAAATCTCAAATGCTTGATTGCTTGTATCATCACAAAATTTATACTATATTATTACACGGCTCTGTGGAATACTTGATTCTGATTGGTCGCGACATTCCGAGGTATGCTATCCCTCGATAACAACCGGTAAAAGCTAATAACATGGGCTCATTCGGGTAACAGCAGTCGGTGCTGTACTCTTGCTTGAACTATTTTTTCTTAGTGGAAGCTTTGCGTTTGTTTAGCTAATAAAATATTACAACTCGATTCAAAATGGTGTACAATTATTTAATTATGTCATCCTGGAGTACAATATACGAATAACAAATCAAGTGAACTTAAAATTTGAAATAGAGTGCAAAAGGCCATTAATTTAAGTGAACTTAAATTTTGGGATACCACATTACTCAATTGAGGGAAAAAGTTTACACAATCGAGTTCAGTCAACTTATTAGGGTTTTCGGAGTATATATTCCATGGTCTGTCTCAATACTGGATTCTGATTGGCTGGCAGGTATGCAGTAAAACCGTTTAATGCACAGGTAGTTCCATGTCAGTTTAATCACCGTTCTATATTAATGCGCTGCTTTAATTGATGCACCACTCATCAATTCATCACTGAATCACTCATCATTGATGCATCACTCGCACACACACACACACACACACACACACACAGAGAGAGAGAGAGAGAGAGAGAGAGATCAGAGATCGCTGATTGCGCTGCACACACACACAAACTTGTTGTCAACGCTTCCCCGTGATTTTCATGAATAAAATAGCCTAGATACTAGATCGCTACATTATATTCCCCAGCAACGAGGTGGTAAAATCGCTGTTTTTGAAGTAATTGTTTGTACAAAGAGACGCGCAGACGCAGCACGCAGCACACAGGTACACACAACTGTCATCTCTCTCTCTCTCTCGATCGATCGATAATTAATTGAAATACATGCTATAATTCATTAAAATAAATGTGGTCTTACCACACTATTTCATCTCTGTGTATGATTTGAAGCGGGCAGAATGCTAGCGCTAACGTGCCGTAACTGACGAAAATAACTGTCATTTTTACCCATTCGGTCAAATATTGTGGTGTAAAGAGCAATACTAGTTTTAACTTGTCTATAACTTGGCAAATGACCATGGAATAAGTGGGATAATCAACGGCTAGCCGTGCATTAAAGGGTTTTAAATGCACTTCGCGTCGGGCGGTTCTTTGCCTCCACATTAAAGGATTTTAAATGCACGGCTAGCCGTTGATTATCCCTTACTTATAAGCACATATTAATGCCTTATTCTGCATGATCATATTTTAGATCCCTGAATCCTACCACATACCTAAACATAATAACTACCTTACTAACTATTAATAAACTGCAAATTTGGAGTTTATTGAGGTAAAAGTTGTAGTTACTAGTTAGTTGATAGTGAGAATTGGTCCCCAAACTAAAGTGTGACCCTGCTTGACTATTAATAGTTTGCAAATGAAAAGTTTAGTTTGTTTGTTTTTTACGCATTTTGGCCATGTCTTCATTTTTGCAATTTAATATTACAATGTATTGTTTTATATGTGGGTGAGGCATCTTTGTGACATCTTTACAACAACCAAAACAGATTACTGCAAAGTATGACAATATTTTGGCAGTTCTGGGTTCTGAATGAAACAGTTTTGTCAGTGACTCAGTGGGAGGTTTCCAAGAAGCTGAAGTTGTTATTTAAAACAACAATGCAATTAAACACAGATTGGATGATGAATGCAAACCCTTTTGGATCAGTTACACTGAACACTTTCCTTAAAGGAGCCAGAAAAACATTCCAGAGATTGCAGCTCAGGTCATGTTATTAGAGACAACAGCAGACACATGAGGAAATAGTGGACGCTTGAGACTTGATGGTGGATAGAGACCAGAACTTCAACACAGTCTGGTCTGCATTACATCAGTACAATTAGAAGTATTTTCTAGTGTTTAGGCGTAAACAGTTCCAAATCATATATGTGATGCAGTTATAAACACTTAGTATGTATCTATTACACATATATTACAATGTAATAATACTTTTGAATGTTGTGCTGCACTAGATGTGTTAATTTAAGAAACCTCCTTTGGGAGATTAAGCCTTCAGATTAAATATAACACTACTGCATGCGTCTTCCTCTCAGCTCTGATGAAATAGGTCAGAAGTAATTTTGACAGCTCTACTTTCGCACCACCAATATGGAATGTTCTAGTAAAACATAAGTAGACTGTGTTTTCTCTTTTATTTATTTCCCTGAAAGATTCTGTGATCTCACACAACAGATTTTTAGACAAATTCAATACAATATCTAACTGAATCTACCAAAAACAGAACTTCTTATTCACTATCACTTTATTAAATGTAACTCCGTAATATACAAAGTCCTTACTTCAAATTCAAACTTGGAACTGCCGAAATTCGTCCTCTGTTTCTGCCAGAAGTTGTCAGGCTTGATGATGAGAGCGACGTGGATGCAGGAGGGAAACGATTCCTGTAGGATCTTCAGCAGAGGTTTGATAGAGTCCCATTTGGATCCTCGCATATCCACGATGACCGTGAAGCCATGTCTGCTCACCTCCTCACTACATAAACAAATAAAAACACAGCGTCAGCTCTTCTGCACTGCTGACACTCACATCATTAGGGAGATGTAAATGAGAGCCGCTGCTTTCAGACAAGTCTACAAATCTGATTAAAATACATTTTAGTGCATCAAATATCATATCATAATGTGCAGGGACCATGCATGAAAAATAACAATTACCCGAAAATAGTAAATAAAAGATAAAGAAACCTTTTTCGCTAAACTGAGAGAAGACTGCTATAGGGAAAAAAGAAATAAATAGATAAATGTAAAAAAAAGGCTAACTAAAGAGCTCTCTAGCACGAAAAACAGGCTGTTAACTCAAGAGGGTTTTCATATCCACAGCTGCACTCCTCTAGTCTGACTCTTCAGCAGGAATGAGCACTGAACAACTCTAAATCATTCTGACCTCCCTCTCTGAGAGAGAGAGATAGAGAGAGAGAAAGAGAGAGAGAGAGATAGAGAGAGAGAGAGAGAACAGAAAGAAAAGGGTGAGATAAGATAGAAAACAAGAAGAGGGGATAGCACAATGTGGGGTGATATACAGTGGTGTGAAAAAGTGTTGGCCCCCTTCCTGATTTCTTATTTTTTTGCATGTTTGTCACACTTTAATATTTCAGATCTCAAATAATAAATAAGCCTGTGATTTTAAGTGCTTATATAACTTGTTGTTTATTTTGTATTAATTGTTTTACATTTAAATGATTTTTAAATCTTAAATTTCAGTGGTTTATACATTGTGTTACTGGTAATTCCTGTAATTCCTGTGGATGTATTTTTCCAATCTATCTACAGTTAGGTGTTAAATAAATAAATAAAAAAATAATGAAAAAAATCATGTATCATCCCACTTACACCATGGTCACTTGCCAGCACTGACAGGTTGAATCTGTTATTGAGTTTGCCGTGCAAAACTAGACCGGAAAGGTAAAAATTATGTTTGTTTTTGTCAGTTACGGCTTCCAGGTATAACATTCTGCCTGCTTTAAATCAGACACAGAGATAAAGTAGTGTGGTAAGATTATATTTATTTGAATGAATTATAACATTTACTTGTGTGTGTGTGTGTGTGTGTGTGTGTGTGTGTGCATGTAAGTTTATTTACTTCAAAAACTGCAACATTACCACCTCATTGCTGAGAAATTTAATGTAGCGTAGTGTTTCAGTAGCAAAGCAAATTAACTAATAAATGTTGTGGGGCAGCACTGACAACAAGTTTCTGTTCTCCTGAATGTTTCTCTGTGCACAAAATGATCTCCAGTCTCTGTGTGTGAGTGGTCTGAGTGTTTGTGTGTGCTTTAAATGAAGGCTGCACATTTGTATAGAATGTTTATTGTAAGTAAATCACTCGCATATGCGACTAAATCTTACTCTGGGCGACTAAATAATGTCTAACATTAGCCATTGGCTAATAAATTCTTAGATTTTACACGCCAGTATGTGTGTGAGAGGCATTCAACACAGATTTTCACTCGATAAACACGCTGACTGAGCGCTTCAGAGTTTCGTTCTCCATCAAGCGATCTGTACTATTTGGATGCGCTCAATGGATCATGTCATGTACTCAATGGATGCGCAGTATGTAGCACGCAGTGCACCTGTATTTGACGTACCGTAAACTAGTGTGAAGGCGCACGACTCGCCGTCACTTTACTGATAGCGCTGTGTTTCTCACACATGCAAAGAGAGAGAGCGAGAGTCTTGCATACCACGCTGA